TGCCTAATGATAAGGGTAAACATGAGTCCCGATAGCAAACCAACAATTGCACTATACTGAACTAATTCAATGCACTACGAGTTAGCAGTATTTCATGCACCCAGCGATTAGGTGCTTGCCGCCTTTCAGGCTGGGGTGCAAAAAGCTCCGTAACTGGTTCACCGGAGACAGTGAAGTACATAGAGGCAAACCCACAGTATTGGCATTCCGGTTTTCACTTCCTGCACTTTTCACTTCATGTGCATGATCTTTATCGTTGTTCGATATTCTCACTCGGCAAGTGCAATGCTGCGAAGGTGCTTGGACACCGATTGACTTTAATATTATGCATATCTAAAACCTGCCCGGATCGTGTATGGACGCGATATATCTCACGCATATCTCAGTGGCATTACTATGGCTCTAGTTTTATACTCGTGTGCCGCCGCAAAAGCAACTCTTCCGGACGATTTTCGAATAAACAGAACTACATATGAAAATCAATAAATTAAGTCAATAGGTTACGGACAACGGAAAAGATGATCAGGACATTACTACTCACCTATAAGTCCAAGATTCTTCGCAACCTCAACCAGACGCGCATTCGGATCCTTATTCAACTTCGAAACGATTGTGTCCGGTGGGTGAGACACAATACAACAGAAAACGCCAGCTGAAGAAGTAAGAATAACAAACATGGAACGTACCAATGTAGCCGGCAACAAAGGTTACCACCAATTGTTCACCTTTGGAGCACTGATCACGGGGTTTGGGCACAACGTATTTATACAAGGCCTCGACTGTTCGTTCAAAGCAAGCGAACTTCATCATCGTATACGGAATCTGCCGACCCCACAAAGGTACAATACCTTTGTAGAATCCCATTAAGCCTTCGTCGCGGATCATTTTTGGAACACCCTCGCGCAATGTATTTGCCCATCCAGGCATTGTTTGTATTCGTACTTTAACAGCCTCCATCGGACAAAGCATTATATCCGCGAAAAATTCCGCACTTGCACTAGCGGCGAGGTACACAGAAGTCCGCCACAAATAGGCGTTTTCCTAATTCCATAAGTTGTCAATTAAACTATGATTACCTCTGACAGCATTCCATTGTATAAATGCTTGAACACTTCATAGAACCCAAACTTCCCGAGACCTTGAAGTGAGTACCCTATACATGTCGGAGCCCAACCGCGTCCCAAGCCACGCACGCCATCCTCGGCAAGGGTAACCCGGAAGCCATTGACGATGTTCTTATACTTGGCGCGATCGACCTGGATTCTACACTTCACTAGATCTAGGGGCACGATAGCAGTATGCGTCGTTCCACAGCTCAGGACACCACCCAAAGCACAATAGGAGTAAAACTTGGGTGACCCATACTCGCAGCTATCTGGTAGAGTAACGGCCATGGTGGCTTCCGCGGTTGACCTCCAAGTGACCTCTGGTAATGAACATGATGTAGCTTAACAAACAAAATTCGACCAAAAAGAATTTTCAAGAACCAATGAAAAATTCATCACTGCTCCAGTTCAGGAAATAAATCCTGCCCCAGCGTCTGGTAGCTGCAGCCCAAAATAATAGGGCGCTTGAACTGTCCTCTGCGGTGAGTTGGCGCCAAGTTGAAATATTTGAATGCTCGCTCTGATAATTCAAATTTAAATTCAAATTCAAATCACAGGACGTAGAGAGGCCTTCGACTGTTGGGTGTCCTGATAATGGCGGGTTCCGTCTGTGGACCGACTCGCCTGCGAGTGTAAAACTTCGTCCGATTCTCCACGAGGGAGTAATATCTTCAAGGTGGAAGTCTTGAAGTCTTGAAGTGATTCACGGGTTCAAGGCTGTTGCCCAAATGTCCCGGGTCC